ATCACACTTCCATTACATCTTTGAAGTTGTTCTCTGAAGAAATCTCATTCATTTTTTTCAAAATGGCAAATTCCTCCGATTCTGTTTTTGCCAATGTTGTTCGTGCTCCTGAAGATCCCATCTTAGGAGTACCTCCCTTTCCACTCTTTCTATTTTACATTTCCATTTCCACTGAATATGTTTCTTCTGTGGCTCCTTTAATAATCTTCCGTAAATATATTATTAGTGGATTTGATAAACTACTTCGCTCTCCCTCTCTCTTTTATTTTCTTATTATGGGTTGGATTAGAATGAACATTAATTAATGATCAGATGATATCTTGGAGATCGGCATAAATGGGTTGATTGGAATGATCTCTATAGGGTTTCCTATTGTATGCATTGGATCATGGATGTGTGTGCTAATTACTTAATACTTCTTTCTTTTTACTGTGATCTGGCAATTCCTTATTTAATTCCTGGTGTGGTTGATGGAAGGGTGTAGATTTGATTCTTTAACTTGCTCTATTGAGAATGTAGTTTGTGCTTCTCAAGTGTTTAGTAATGGTTTTTTCTTTAAATTTTTCTCTTTGTGTTACTTCATTAAAACAGGTCACAGTGGCTTATAACAAAGATACCAGCCCAGTGAAGTTGAATTTGGGTGTTGGCGCATATCGCACTGAGGTCTGCCACTTCTACTTTGTCTCGTTGTTCTTTATTTTTTAGTTTTTATTATAACCAAAAAAAGTTGCCCCTTGAATGGATTTGGTCCTGCTATGTGTTGAATCCTTGGTTAAGTTTTTCTTTATTAGGCTCCTTCACAAGGATAGAAAATTGTAGACACTGATGCATACACATTAGTAATATTTTTTTCCCCTGATGCATAATGAAGTGAAACCACTTGTGCTTCTAAAAGTTCATATTTTGGGGCAAGCTGAAGTACACATTTTTATAAGTGGTTGTTTTTTTCTTCAATCTTGAGTTGGATGTTAGTGTTAAGTAGGAGTGGCAAACGGGCGGGTCGGGTCGGATTTGTTTCGGGTCGAAAACGGGTGATGGAAAACGGATAAATTATTTGACCCGACCCATATTTAATACGGATAAAAAAACGGTTTATCGGCGGATATGGTTAACCATATTATCCATGCCTTCTTGCATATGATCACTTTTGGGAGAATTCTTAGTCTCCCTAACTTGGGGAACCCCCAATTTGCGGCTTTACAAATCTAAAAGTTAGACCCATTGGTTATCCATTAGTTACCCATTGGTTAACCATTTTCTAAATGGATAATATGGTTTTTATCCATATTTGACCCATTTTTAAAAAGTTCATTATCCTACCCATTTTATAGTGGATAATATGGGTGGTTAACTGTTTTCTTTTTAACCATTTTGCCACCCCTAGTGTTAAGCTTGACAACTACTAATGCATAGTCTGATGACAACTTGCAGGAAGGAAAGCCCCTTGTTCTTAAGGTGGTGAGACGAGCTGAACAAATGCTCGTCAATGACACGTAACTTGCCAAATTAGAAACTAGCTTACTGATTTTCTTTTGAGATATGATCACCTGATGCCAAGATTGGAATCTAAGGCTGCTATGATGCAGGTCTCGGGTGAAGGAGTATCTCTCAATTACTGGACTAGCGGATTTTAACAAACTGAGTGCAAAGCTTATATTTGGTGCTGACAGGTTTGGAGATTTTTTGGTGCAGTTGCTCTTGATAAATGCTTGAGTCAAAAAAATTAAAAAAATGCTCACTATCCATGTCGCTCTATTTAAACCTATATTGCCAAACCACTTGTATAAATGAAAATGAGCCTTCAATATTCTTCCTTCCATCTAGTTTGATATTTGAATGAGAGATTGTTGCTAAAAAGGAAATACCTGTTAAACATGTTCCTCCGTATTTCATCTTTTTATGATGCCTTGCATCAGAAGAAAATTGTTCTAGAGTTAACTTTCTCTCCTCTTTGTTGTACTGATTATCTGTGCGTGGTGAACGTGATATCAAGAAATATGTGTCTTCTGTCACTATTACTCCTTGTTAAGTCATATGTGATTGACTTGTTATGATATCAGCAGATTTACTTATGTTTAGATGTAGTTTAAATGCTTTTTGTGCTGTTTTGTTGCTTATACAGCCCTGCCATTCAAGAGAACAGGGTGACTACTGTTCAGTGCTTGTCGGGCACAGGTTCTTTGAGGGTTGGGGCTGAGTTTCTTGCTAAGCATTATCATGAAGTTAGTATTCCTTGCTCTCTTTCCCTTTATATGTCTAAATCAAATGGACACTTGTATAAGCTTCTACTGTTTGTTTTGTTGCCAGCATACTATATATATACCACAGCCAACATGGGGAAACCATCCGAAGATTTTCACTTTAGCTGGGCTTTCAGTAAAATATTACCGTTACTACGACCCAGCAACACGAGGCCTGGATTTCCAAGGTACTACTGTAATCAATGTTCTCAAAGTTCTACAGTTGTAACTAAGAACCGATTTCTCTTTTTTATGGACCAGTAAACTTGCTCCCGGTCGTGTATAGAAAGATCTATATTTTATGTGTATCTAGCACAGGATCTTTATTTATTTAATTTTGTATTCTCTTGGTAAAGATATAAGTATAGTTTGTTTGTGGCTTCTCCTGTATTTGGGCGTTGCATATCAAATTTAATCATGAACCCTGTAGGACTTTTGGATGATCTTGCTGCTGCACCCTCTGGAGCTATAGTTCTTCTCCATGCATGTGCTCATAACCCAACTGGCGTTGATCCAACAAATGACCAGTGGGAGAAAATCAGGCAGTTGATGAGGTCCAAGGGGCTGTTACCTTTCTTTGACAGTGCTTACCAGGTAAAACTTATGATGGGATTTTGAATTCAAGTGATACTTCGTTAAGAATGATTACTAAATAATTTGAAGCCCCAAGGTATGTATAAATGGGCTGCTCAATGGACCCCTACTAAAATGAATGAATATTTTTGATATTGCAGGGTTTTGCCAGTGGCAACCTAGATGCAGATGCACAATCTGTTCGCATGTTTGTGGCTGATGGTGGTGAATGTCTTGCAGCTCAGAGTTATGCCAAAAACATGGGACTGTATGGGGAGCGTGTTGGTGCCCTTAGCATTGTAAGTCCTTTGTCGGTTGTAATTGCTTTCCCTTTTTAGTAAGCAATAAAATTGGCGGCTGAAGAACTATCCATGGCTATATCATGCTATTTATGTCTAAAGATGTTTTTTTCTTTGAAAGCATAATTCAGGTTATATTCCCTAAAAGGCTAAAAGGAAGTTGTTCTGATGGTACAACGAACACAGTCTCTAGAGATATCGAAAGCCAATTTTTTGAAGATGGCTTCCACTTAGATTGTAATTGGAAAAGAAAGAGAAGGACAGAGTGGAATTAGTACCAGATTGAATGTTTAGGAAAAAGTGTCATTTTGTTTGAGTTTTATCAAACAGACACTAAAAGCTAACTAACACTACAATAAAATTTTGTGTTGTGTTATAGGTTTGCAAAGATGCAGATGTTGCAAGCAGAGTCGAAAGCCAGCTAAAGCTGGTTATCAGGCCAATGTACTCTAATCCACCAATTCATGGTGCGTCTATTGTTGCTACTATACTCAAGGACAGGTTTGTGCTACTATTTACAAGATTCTGTTTTGCTGTTAGTAGATGCTATACCTTCTACATTTTGATGTGGTTGCTCATCTAATGGTGATAGACAAATGTACGATGAATGGACAATTGAGCTGAAAGCAATGGCCGACAGGATTATTAGTATGCGCCAACAACTCTTTGATGCCTTGCAAGCTCGAGGTATCTGATCTTCATATTTGTTCTTTCTAGGGAAGCATACTGTATTCTGTATGATGGGTATTGACTGCTACTGCAATAGGAACTTTTTCCGGAAAAGTACCATGGTGAAACAACCACGGCAACTAAATCTTTTGACTTCACTGTTCAGTTTAGTGCTAATGTAAGTTTTATTCTGTTATGCAGGTACGGCAGGTGATTGGAGTCATATCATCAAGCAAATTGGAATGTTTACTTTCACAGGATTGAATACTGAGCAAGTTTCATTCATGACTAGAGAGCATCACATTTACATGACTTCTGATGGGTAAGGACATCTGACTGTTGATATTTTTTTAATTTGTTTAGTTTGTTACTTTGGGTTGCTTTTTTCTCAGTAGAAACTTAAATAATTGGAACTTAGAAGTCCTTCATTGATTATTTCGGCTTGAATACTTTAATAAGGAGAATTTCAGATTTATAGCTTCAATTTGGAGAGGAAGCATAAACAAGTCTGTCATCCATACTTAAAATTTACAGAAGAAAGTGCAGTTCTGTTTTCCCCCCTCCCAAATTAGACTAATTCTCAAAAGAACTTACCTTCAATCTATGGCACATTTAGTATTCTGGTATCAGTTGAAACATCTCTTTGTTGAAGTTAAGATTTTGGTTAAAGAGATCATCATCTCTAGTAACATTTTCTACTTTCCATTTTTAGAAGAAATGATTTTCTCCTTTCTCATTTGCAGGAGAATTAGCATGGCAGGCCTTAGTTCTCGCACAATGCCTCATCTTGCCGATGCCATACATGCTGCTGTTACCAAAGCGGCCTAAATGAGTTCATTTGCATTCAAGAGCAGTCTTATTGAGAAACTAAGTCTGTTTTTCCTTATCCTTTGATGTTAAATAAAAACTTGTATGACTATGTAGACATAGTATTTGGATGTCAGATTTTGAAATCCCATTATAAAGGGATTTGATGAATGCAAATCACCTTCTGTCAAATTATTAAGTTAGGTCGAATGTTATGAATTCTTAAATTTCTTGGGAAATTTGCTTATGTGCAGTAACATTTTAAGTATCATGAATGAATTAGCAATATTGCACATCAACAGATGTTCTTCATGTATTGCACATCAACAGAAACTGATATGAACTTGAAAAGGAAAATAGGAAAGAAAAAAAGAAAAGAAAAAAACCTAGGTTGCTCAATGGAAGGATTCACTTCTCCTGAGTGCTTAGCATCAAAGTTTATACTTAAAACCCTGCAGTGACTTATGCTTGGAGATGGACATGGGGTACTTCGTGAGGAACACTATCCAAAAGCAAAAAGCCAAGAATGCTATAAAAAAGAAAAAAAACATCTAAAAATGAATAACATCTTGAAATTACCTATTGGCTTGAGAAGAAGAGCAGTTACATTCTTGCATACACTGGTAAGAGAAATTAGACACTGATATGGTTCTCTACTGTATGAATCAGACTTTGATCCCTTTCATGTTTAATGCCGAGCAGTAGGGAGTTGTTAGGCCACTTTCAATGTAAGAAAACTAACGTTAGTTCATGGATTTTTCATTATCATCTTGGGCAAAAAGTCTCCTGATTCTTACTTATGTCTCCCTCTCCTTGCTCCATATTCCAGCCCATGAAGTCAGACAAGGTCATTGAGGTTGGTGTTTCTGCTGCAGAACTCAACATCTCTGTCTCTCCCCTGGGAGTTGACATTCCACTTAGTGGTTGCTGAGGTGAAGATTCAGCTGAAGGGTTCCACTTTGCTATTGCAAGTGATGGATCTTGTGTGACAGAATCTGCGTATAGGACATCCTCAATACGCGACATAACTGTGTTGGCTAGGCTTTCTAGCACCCTTGAGTAGCTCTCCAGAACAGCATGTCCCACATCCTGCAGGTGAAACAGTTTTGATAATTTGTTCAATCAATATATCACAGAGCCAGCCAGCAGGATAGTGTTCTTACTCTGTTATATTGGATTTTGCTGATCTCAAGGGAAGATTGAGGAATTCCAGGAAATCTGTGTTTTAGCAGGAGTAAGATGGTCTCTGCTCTCTCTTCAAAGAGCTCCCTCTTCTCCAAACTCACAGCTGGAACCCAAGAAGATTTTCCATCTTTTTGGTGCATCTTCCTCTTCCAAATCACAATAGATGCTTCAATTCTGTTTTTAAGGTCAAGAACTTTGTGTTCTGATGACATGTCCATGGTTGAAAGGAATTGTTCTGGATCAAAGAATTCGACCGTGATGTTCTTGTAGATTGAATCACCAAGACTTGATCGACCATTCTAGCAGCAGAGTAGAGCAGAAGTCAGAAAGAATATGTTAAAATCTATCTAACTTGTGAGTCTCACCTACCTTGGGGAGAGATTCAATGTAGTTTTCAGGGACTTCCATTTCTGCTAGTATTTGAGCGTTAATCGCCATGGATGCTTTGAGTACTTGGTTCACACAATCCTTCTGATATTGTAGCCATCTCCGGGAAGCATCTGAGAGTCCCTCAGGTGGAACCTTGATTGTAGGTAGCCACCATTTATCAGTCCTCTGGACACCTTTCTCGGATTCTTCAGCATCTTTCGAGACATACCAGAATTCTTTTGCATCTTTGAAGTTATCTAAGCAGTCCTGTATATGTTGATTCAGTTATTGGGGAAGTTGATAAACTTAATTTAAGTAAGTAATATCATAACTACAGGTTTCTCACAATGAGCATTGCATCAAGCTTCTTCAGAGCAGGGATGTTCATGACCAGATCTCTTCTTTGTTGAGTAACCATTATCTGTCAAAACAGGGATTACATTTCTTACTTTAATTCTTGAAGCAGAAATATAAGGAGGACAAGACTGAAATAGGACCTCCATGTTTGTTCCATCTTTTGATTTTTGTTGCGCGGGGACAAACTCAACAATGTAATCTGTCACAGATAATAGCCAGTCGATTTCTTTTCTCCACCTGTCTTTTCTCTTTTGTGACATAGGCTCCAGTTTCGATTGTTCTCCAAAAACAGAAGCTACACACACAGATAGAACAAAACAAGGTGAAGAATACAAGGAAAGAACTTAAATCGAAGACCAGGGCATTATTACCAGCTAGATTGGTAATGGCGTTTGATAAAGCCAGAGCTGATGAAACACCTTTTCCTCCTCCTGACATATCCTCCCCTAAAAGCAGCTTTGCAAACCTTTCTTTCATCAACTCCATGTCTGAATCCATAACATTTACATCAAATTAATGCGTCATGACACATTAATACGGTTCAAATGAAAAAACAATGTCAAGAATAATACCTGTAGGTTCTTTATCTTTTCGGGTATTTCCTGCCTTAGCTGCATCCTGGGTTAAGCTTGAAACAGGTTCATTATCCATCTGATGATTTTCTAAAGGTACAGACGGTGTTCCGCCTTGGCTAATAAATTGGACGTTGCCAATGTTGTCATCCATGTCCTCTTCATCACTACCGCTATCCCCCCCAATGCTATGTGCCAATCTACTTGGAATCTCAAATATCTTCCTAAAATTGAAAGACCTCGACTTCTGAATCTTATTTTCTTCGTTAACCATTTTGTGCCAATTCCCCAATCAGAATCTAAGAATCCACACCTAAGATCTGAACCTGCAACCTTAAGCAACTTTTAACAACCATTAATGTTGCACTATAAGCTTCCCCTATATCAAGAGGATTCAACAGTTTATAAATATATAACAAATTCTTTTCACCCTATTTGTACAATGTAATTTTTCGCCATGACGCTCTCTCCCTGCCCCTAACTAGTTGTATACCCCCAACAATGTTGCAAGAAGACGTAGTAATATTTGTGAACTGCATGAAGATAGACCTTTTGTACATATGTTCTTTCTCCTCAAGGAATGTGAGAAACGGAAAATGAAGAAAACCCCTCCTCTTTTTTTTTTTTTTTTTTTTTTGGTATAAAATGAGAAGCCAATAATGGTGATGAATGAGTGAAGGGTTTCTTATTTTCCTGATGAAAGGGGTTTGTGAAAACAAGGGAAAGAATAATAAATAACACATGTTGTTCTTGGTCTGTTTTAGTAGAATATATGTGGTTGAATTTTCATCTATAGCAAAAAGCCCGGGAAAGCATACAATGGACAACTAACTGTCATCTTAAAATGGTCTATCAACGCAACACTCTAGTCAACACTTGTCAAACACATTTATTTATCTTTGCTATTCATTAAAGTTATAATAATGCAGTGTCTTAGTTTTCTAATTTTCGTATTACGTAAAAATTGCACGGGGCGCCCTATTTGGGCACCCCTTTTTAACCTGTAGTCGCGTTGTTTTTCTATTTGCATCCGTACCGGTTTTTTTGTTAAAAGCATTTTAAAAAGACTATTTTGCCCTTCTTTATTAAAAGACTACTTTCTCTCCAAGTATACGCTAGTCCTCTACTGTCTCTGTCTCTCTCTCCCGTTATTCGCGTTTTTTGATTTGTTCTTCTCTGAAATCAAACGGTTTTCGTCATTTTTTTGATTTTTCAACTGCTAGTCGTTGTTGTTCCCACATTACGATTTAACCACAGGTACACTGCATTAACTTTCTGAGTTCTATTTTACGATTTAATTTCTGGTTTTGGTTTTGATAGTCATGTATTTATGATAAAATAGTTTCTTAGGGTTTAGTTTGATAAGTGCATTAGTTTTACTTTTACGATTGTATTTTTAGGTTTTTTGACCGAGTGTTTGTGTTGTTGATGAAAATTCTATAAAATTTTCAGTGATTAGACGTCGAAATTTTTAAAAATTTTGAGAGTTAAATAGATGATACTATTAAAGGGTGAAGTTTATTATAGTTCAATGATACCTTAGATAGGAGGTGAAGTTTTTTTTTTTTTTTTTTATTTTTTGTGTTTGCTATTATTTTTGGATTTGAATTTGTGTTCTGTTTTTTGTAAAAACTACAGCATGTTTTTTTGCTGAATGTTTTGTGTTTGTAACTGGTGAACTTCAGCTTTAGGAGCTGAAGGTTTTGTTTTCTGTAACTGGTGAACTTCAGCTCTAGAGCTGAAGTTTTTGTTTTGTAACTGTCGAACTTCAGCTTTAGGAGCTGAAGGTTTTGTTTTTTGTAACCGGTGAACTTCAGCTCTAGAGCTGAAGTTTTTGTGTTGTAACTGTCGAACTTCAGCTTTAGGAGCTGAAGGTTTTTTTTTTTTGTAATTGGTGAACTTCAGCTTTAGAGCTGAAGTTTTTGTTTTGTAACTGTCGAACTTCAGCTTTAGGAGTTGAAGGTTTTATTTTTTGTAACTGGTGAACTTCAGCTCTAGAGCTGAAGTTTTTGTTTTGTAACTGTCGAACTTCAGCTTTAGGAGCTGAAGTTTTTATTTTTGTAACTGGTGAACTTCAGCTCTAGAGCTGAAGTTTTTGTTTTGTAACTGTCGAACTTCAGCTTTAGGAGCTGCTGTTTTTGTTTTGTAACTGTCAAACTTCAGCTCTAGAGCTGAAGTTTTATGTTTTGTAACTGTCGAACTTCAACTCTAGAGCTGAAATTTTTGTTTTGTAATTGTCGAACTTTAGCCTTCTTAGAGATTGAATTTTTAACTGATCTTTTTGATAATGTCCTGATGTTATTTTTTGTATCTTTTACTTTTTTTTAGCAGATGGCACCTAAAGCACCTAAAGATCCTAATGCAGCTAAAGTACGCAAAGTAGCTAATGCACCTAAAGCACCTAGACAACCTATAATATCCCCAGGTCCTTATGTCCCTGCTCCTCCACCTACAAGACCAGGGCAAAGATATTTTGAGTTTCGAGATTGGTAAAACTGTAAGGCTTACTGGAAGGGGAACCACGATTTGAAGAGTTCAATTGCAAATTTGTTGACTCCTACACAACGGGATAAGCTTAATAATGGTACATTTCGATACATTATGGCTATGGAGAATTTCAAATGCAACATGAAGTTGGTTCATTGTCTGTGTCTTTCTCGAATATTCACCAATGATCGAGACTCGATTAGTTTCAAGATTTTTGGCCATGATGTTTCCTTCACCCTTGAAGACTTTCACATTATGTGCGGTTTGCGGATCACAACACATAATGTTGAAAAACCAATTAATCGAGAGAGCAATATTCTGAAGCGCTATTTTGGTAAGTCCAAGGGTGTGACTTTGAAGGATATTCGAGATTTTATGACTCGAAATGAAATTCCAAAGAATGCTGTGAATCACAGGCACGTATGCGAGAGTGATGATGATGCTGTGAAGCTTATGGAGATTCTTATTGTAGAGTCTATTTTGTTTGGGAAAAAGACTGAGTCATCTGTGATGGAGGAGTATGCATCTATTGTTGAAGATGATAAGGTTTGTGTTGAATATCCTTGGGGTAATGTGGCTTATGAGAAGCTCATTTACTCACTGATACATGCATTGGACAAGCAGAACAAATTACATTCAACTGAGTATAAAGTTGGTGGATTTCCATATCCGTTATGTGCTTGGTTCTATGAGGGCTTCCCAGATATTCGGGAGAATTATATAAGAGAGGATGAGTACCTTGATACCCCTCAAGTTCCCAGGATGTTACGTTATGTATGTGTGGGAGAGCCTAAATATCCCGAACTTTTTGATTTCTTCAGTAGTCATGAAGTAAGTTACTTTTTTTTTGTTTTTTTTTGTCTTTGTTTTTATATGTTGACGTATTAGTTTTTTTCCTCTCATAATATACTTTTTTGTATTAAACAGAATTATCGCAACTTTAGGGTATTGGATATAATTCCTACAGAAGAGGAATTGAATTCAATGCCTTTAATTGGACAATTACCATGCAACCGGATTCGTTCAAAGGTACTTAATGCGGTTCCTCAACTGGTGAATCACCACGCAGTCTGAGTCGATCAAAAGAAGCTAATCAAACTTCTGTTATTGGCCAATCACCACGTAGTCAGAGTCGATCAAAAGAAGCGAATCAAACTCCCTGTATTGGCGAATCATCTCGTACCCAGAGTTGTTCTAACCGTTCTACAGCTGAGTTTGATGACAATGAATTACTCGACACAATATGTTCTGTAAGTTTTGATGTGAAGTTTTTTGGTTTTGTTTTTGTAAAAGTACAACATGTTTTTGAGCTGAAGTTTTCTTCTATATCTGAATTTTTGTTGTGTGTCTATACTAGAGGGTAACGATGGAGGTTCAAAGGCATGCAGAAAAAGAAAGAAGCACGATCGTGAAAGAAGTTTTCGATAAGTTTCAAAAGGATGAGCGATCTGCTATTGTGGATGCGGTTTTTGTAAAAGTGAAGGTAAGCTAATTTTATTTCTGCTAATGTTATTCAGATTAATCATTGTTAGTAACTTTTTTTCTAGGAATATTTCGATGAGAAGTTTGAACAGTTGTTTAAGATTGTCAACAAATCAAATGGAATGGACGATGGCAATTTTGATTTGAGTAACCCTCGAGAATATGATAGGATGAACGACTATTACGAACATCCATCGGATACTAATGCTGTTGATGATGCATCGGATAAAGTCGCAGATGTAAATGCTACACGTGAGGAAGCGACTTTTGAAGGCGATCAACATATTGAAGAACAAGTTGAAGAGGAATGTTCCAGTGCTGATAGATTGAGCAGAGATGGAAATGATGAAGAACAGTTATCAACTGAGAATGTTGGAAGCAAGCAAGGTGCAGATAATCAAGTTGTTTATACTGAAGAACATGCTGCTCATGATCCATCGACAAAGTCACAGATGATAATGCTACACGTAACGAAGCGGCTGTTGAATGCGATGAATATGTTCAACAACAAGGTGGAGAGGAACAATCTAGTATTTATAGACTGAGTAAAGATGGAAATGATGAAGAGTTAACAACTGAGAAAGGTGCAGATGGAAATGATCAAGCTTTGGAAAGTGATATTGCAAAAGGCAATTTGTTTGGCGATGGAGACAAGCACCTGTTGGTACTTTAAAACTGAAAAGCGAGTGATTGTCTAGCACTATTGGAAAGACGATCGGGTTGCAGGAGCACTAGCTATTTGCATGGAACTTTTAGGTGATGATACACAGGAAATTGTTTACTACAGGTAAAAGTGTGAAGTATATTAATAGTTCGGCTCAACATGTTTTGAGCATGAAGTTTATTTTTTTTGTAACTGTCGAACTTCAGCTTTAGGAGCTGAAGTTTTTGTTTTTGTTAACTGGTGAACTTCAGCTCCAGAGCTGAAGTTTTTGTTTCTTGTAACTGTCGAACTTTAGCTTTAGGAGCTGAAGTTTTTGTTTTTGTAACTGGTGAACTTCAGCCATCTTAGAGTTGAAGTTTTTAACTGATTTTTTTGATAATATCCTGTAGTGAAACTTTCACTACAGGTTTAAATTTTTTCTATGTTATATATATAGAAAAATTAGTTGATCTATTCCCCCTCTTTATGAATATGCAGTGAAAGTTCAAACTAGTTGTGCTTCAATTGACACAACTCAAAAACTCTCCGATGATGCTGAATTGAATGAAGGTAGTGTTGAGAAAAAGCCTTCCAGGAATAACTCCAATGCTCCTCGACGTGGTGCACAATTGAATGAAGATGGAACTGCTGATATCGACAAAGGCATGCAGCCTGGGGAAACCAACAGCGGGAAGACAAACGTAAAGGTATTCTATAGATCATGAGTTTATTACATTTGATCCAAGTATATTTTTTACAGTTTGAAATTTTACATACTTTATTTTCTTTGTTTTGTTTTTGAATGATTTCTTCAGAACGACTCGAGTAGCTCAAAAAGAATTTGGTGACTTGTGCAGCAATATCAAAAAGGAGAAATGCATTTATTCACACCTGTTGGCTCACAGACAGGTGTGAAGTGTGTTGGTATTATTTAAATTTAGTCACTATTATTTAGTTTTTTTTTACATGAAGATACAGGCATATCTGAAGGTAAAGGAAGTGGATCTGTTGGAATGCAAACACCATCTGTGTCTCAACACTGCATAGACCAGGTAGTTATTTTCTGCAAGTCGATTACAAGCTGTTTTTTTGCCTAATGTGTTTTTGTATCCAGTTTTAATTTATGTTTATATTTTCCTTGCTTTTGCAGATCTCATCTGATGCATCGCAACTTCTTCTAAATCCTAAAAGAAGAAAGATTTCCAGTTCTCCTATGTGTGACACTAGTGATATCCCCAACTTCAATATATGTTCATTTTCGTTGGGTAGTACACAAGGGACTGATTCAGAAGGTAATTTTGTTGATGTTGTTGTTCGTGAAGAGAGACAAGAACGTCGTGAATAGCAAGGGAGTTGCGTCAAGTATCTGCCACGATGGCTGTGGTTTTTCCCCCTGTTGCTGAACAAGCAAAGCAGTTAGTTGTAACGGAACAGCAGGAAGAGCAAGCAAAAGGAAAACCAGATGAAAAAGGGAAAAGGATTCGTATGGAGAGTATTTGGTTGAGATCTACCTTACGTAGTTCATAAACAAAAGCAAAGGGGGAAGATTGGAAAGTTTAGGAAAGAATACACGAGAGGTGTTCCTTTCCATTTATGTTAAAGGCAGTGGTACTTGATGGCAAAGATTTACAGAGTGAGTTGGAGAATGGATGCCAGTGAATTATGATCCCCAATCCATCAGATTAGCTGGGAGTTGATATTGCAAAAATTCATTCTTACACGAGCTTGTTGGATCCTAACTCTATACTTGCGGATTGAAGTAAGTTATTAGTATGTTTGTTTTGAATTGGTTTCAACATGTATTTACTAAACTTCAGCTTATTTCTTATAGTAATAGTTTTTAACTGTTATTTGGAAAACTTCAGCTTTATTCATAGTAAAACTGCTTAAGTTTTTTAGCTATTTTTGCCTAACAACTTCAACCTAACCGTGCTGAAGTTTGACATCATTCTCTAGTTTTTTTTCAAACTTCTTAAATCAAACATGCAAAGTTTTTTAGATTATTTTCTAACACTCAAACTGAATATCGCTTAAGTTTTTGTCATGCTGTTTGTAGTTTTGTAATGCCGTTTTTTTCTAAAACTTCATAGTTAGCAATGCTGAAATTTTTTATATTGAACTGTTATCATTTGTTGTTGTTATTTGCAGACATGGATGTGGGGGGCAATATATTACTTGCGCAAAAATACTGCTATGCCGGTTCAGTGTGATCCAAAATCAATAGATGTGCAGAAACGGATTTAAAATTTTTGATTCAGTATACTGATTCAAGCTGGCTGGCTATCATCCTTCAGAAGAAACAGATGGAGAAATTAGAAAAGGAAAGAAAAGAGAATGCGCCAGACGATCAAAAAAGAGCAAATCAAAGAGAAAGAGGATATTCAAAAACAACCAGGCTGAAGAAGAAGAAGAAGCGGTTTATTTCAGCCACTTACGGACTTTAGTTGGTTTGAGGAAGAATCAACGAATAGAAAAGGTGGCCAACTACGTAAGAGAGCCTCGAACCTTTCCTGTGGTATCTCATGGGCATCTGCCAAAAAAGTTTTCTTTCATTTCGACTTAAGCCAAGACGGGCGCCGAAATCTACGCACTACTTTTTAAGAATTCTGGACTTATAAAGATAAAACTTATATAGTGTATTGATTCCAATGGGAGGTGTAACATGATGATCGTGCGGTGTGCAACATGTCAGAACTTATGCCCGTGTGATTCCACACTGTCTCAAATTCTGGAATTATGGGTCACACAATAAATTTTATGGGAAAAGGCCCTGTGGAAAAATTTGTAATTAAGTGAAATGAGAGACACCGCTGGCAGGATAAGCAAGATACAAATGTTTTCGTATAATGTTTTACACTGCATCTTATGTTTTATTATTTTTTGCCTGTGGTTAACCTATTTCTTTCAATTCTTTTTCATGTTCTTCTTTTGTAGTGTTTGATTGTGGTTGGTGTATTTGCTCTTAAGTTCATGGATATGCGGTTGAATAAAGAGATGTCTTCATTTTAATCCAAAGTTGAGTCACTTGACATTCAGGAGAGAATTGCCGCCAATCTTTGGAGCTCATGGAAAGTGGAAACAACGATAGCGGCTATGATACTCCAGAAGAATAACAAGGAACATGAATTATGCAATTTTGAAGAG